TGGGGGACACTGGAGGAGATCGGGGCTGGGACAAGCTGGGGGAGGCAGGGGATGGGGAAGGTGGGGACTTGGGGGTACACTGGAGAACACTGGGGGAAGTGAGGGGCTGGGGACACTGGGGGTGGTGGGGGTTCGGGTGGACATTGTAGGTAGAGGGGCTGAGGACACTGGGGAAGGCATGGGGACACTGGAGGAGGCAGGGGGCTGGGATACTAGGGGAGGCAGGGAGGCTGGGGTACAGTGTGGGAGGCAGGGGGGCTGGAGACACTGGAGGAGGTAGGGAGGCTGGGGGATACCGGGGAAGGCAGGGAGCTAAGGGACACTGGGAGAGGCAAGGAGACACCCAGGATTTGGCACTTGAGTCTCTGCATTTCACTCCTGGCCCCAGGGCCTCCAACTCAGCTCCAGGTTCTCGGGCTGGTTTGCCCCCAGGAGCACGAGGGGACCGCAGCCAAGTCCCCACCCTCGTGTCACGTCCTCGAGGATATGGCAGCAACAGCGGCCTTTCCTGGGCACCACTGGGCTCCCAGCGCCACTGAATTATTCATCTTTTTCTCCACACTGTGTGACCAGGCTCTGCCCCAGGAGTCCTGGGCTGGGGCGGAGGAGGGAACGCAGTGGGCACAGCCTGGACATCCACTGTCTTGGGGAATGTGGGGAGTGGGTCTCTGCCCCCAGCAGGAGGGTTCGTCTGGCCTTGGCTGCCTTCCTCCCCCACACACCCCAGGGTAGGGGTCCTGCCTTTCTCATACGCCCCTTGGCCACGTACTTTCAGTCCTCCTTCACCTGAAAACAGACATGGCTAGGGACAGGGAGGTAGGGACAGGGTGCCCACCCTGGGGTGCTTGCCCACACCCCTGTCTTCAGGTGGCACTGCTGCACCCTGGACTATGTCTGAGATTCCTCACCCTCTCTGAGCGTAGCCGGCGGGGTATGGCCCCTCTGGGCTCTGCTGCTCCTGGAGGACAGTCCAGGGCCCCCCAACAGTTTCTCAGGTGCTTCCTGCCCTGAGGGCTCCAGAATCTGCAGGGTACACTGTCCACAAGAGCTGCCCCCTGTCCTGGCCTCCCTACAGTGACTGTGCCAGGAAGTTCTTCCTGGTGTCTATCCAGAGCCCAAAGCAGATCTCCCAGACTGTGCAGAGGCAGAAACCCACCCATGGTGTCCTGGGGGAGCCCAGAGCCTGGCACCTGGTCCCCAATGGACCTCACCACACACAAGGCCCAGGGCAGGGCGCTCAGCCCCTATAGGCACCTGCCACAGACCCCACCCCCATGAGCGAGCTACCCCTCGGTCCTCTCCCAAGAGAACCAGGTCTACACGACTCTACTCAAGGCTGATCTCAGACACAAAACTCGGATTCTCACTCATTTGCCCAAAACAAAACACAGTCCCATCCCTACTGGACCCATGCCTGGCAAAGGAGGCTGAAGTGTCTTCGGGTTTGCCCTGAAGGGTTGGAGGGGCCCAAGGATCCCAGGCAGGGGCTGCTGAGGCCAACAGGGCACCGGTGGAAGACTGGCCAGGCCTGACCGGGCAGGGGTGTTTGGGACTGGAAGGGCATAAAGCCACAGAGCTTCTTGGGACAGTGGGGGCCATCATGGGGCAACCACTGAGCCAGAGACCAGCGAGTTCTGCAGCCGGGAAGGCCACACCGTGGCCTCTGGAGGAACCTGGACAGGACTCAGTCCGAGAAGCTGACTGGCCGTCCTTCCAAGCCATTGCCCGGGCCATGGCCTAGAGGGAACCAGCACCCAAGTGCGTCCCTTCCCAAGATACAGAAGATGAGGGGGACGACTTGGTGGTGGTGTGGCCCAGCAGAGTCCAGGGAGTCCAGGGAGGAGCCAAGTCAGCCAACATGGACACCACTGCTGCGTGCTGGGCCGGGCCTCCCAGCTGGGCCCCTAGATCATGCCGGCCAGCCAGGGCGGAAGGAAGAGCCCCACAGTTCCCAGCAGGCACACGAGGATGAACATCCACAGGAAGATGCGGTCGATGACCATGGCCACGTACTTCCAGTCCTCTTTCACCTGAAAACAGACATGGCTACCAGCATGCCGGTCTCGCAGGCAGCCAGAGAACCCTCCGGAACCTGGTGTAGCGAGGGGCAGGTTCTCTGTGTCCCACCCTTTCACACAAAGTGGCCATGGCTGCAGTATACGCCTGTGCACGCTGGTGCTGAGAGGACCCACAGGGCAGGGCATGCAGGGCACTATGTGCAACTGGAGACAAGGGGCCCCTTCTATGGGGCAATGTTGGGCCAGCAGGGAGGGCGCCCCATGGTGAGCCTGCATCCCACAGCCCGCGTGTCACCAAGGCAAGCGTGTGTAGAACTCAAAGTCAGACCTAGCAGAACCCCACGCCCCCGCAGAGCCAGGGCTTCTGCCTGTGTCCCACCTGCCCTCCTTACAGGCCCTCCCTACAGGCCGGTGGCCTGGGCACAGAGGTGGAGACAGGGCTCCTAGGGAGAGACCAGGGTTCAGCGCTTTGTTAGAAAATCTGTCGTCAGGCTGCTGCAGCAGGAGGACGCGGAGGAAGCCCACCGCTCCATTTCACAGGTGAGAAGTAGGACCTGGGTGAGGCCAAGGACATGCTGGGTAATGAGGACCCCTGATGTGCCACAGAGGTGAGAGGAGATTTTGGAGGCTGCGAGGCCAGGGGGCGGAGGTGGTGGCATGTGGAGCACGTCTGCCATCTGCGCCCTCACCTGGGCTGTCCTGTCTACACACGGGAAGTGTACACTGAGGCACAGAGTGGCCACAGGATGGCACATGGGAACACATCTGAGGTGGGACAGTGGTTCCAGGTCCATCCCAACCCCACATTCCTGTTTCCACCTGGGGCTGACACAGGGTAGCTGGCTCCCAGGGATGCCCAACGACCCCTGGGAGCAGAGACACAGGGAAGCTGAGGCCACGACCTGTTAGGGCCTGGGGAGGCCAAACTTGAGCGGCCATGTCCAACCCTTAGGGCATGCCAGCCACCCATGCACTGCCCTGTCCCTGCTCCCTGCCCTGTGTGGGAGTCACCATCTGGAAGGCACTCACTCTATCACCCCCAAGCTTGGTCGGAGCTGCCTTGGGACAGGCACGAGTGTCCTGGGCCCTGGGCCTGTAGGTCCCAGCGAGGGCTCAGCCAGGTGAGGGGCAGTCCAGCTTCCTGCATGGGGCATCTGCTCTGATCTTTAAAGCCATCGCGGGCATCCTGAGGGCTTTGGATGCACCCAAGACTCAGCTGCGCTTATTCTCAGGAAACCTGCCGCAACCGGGTCATTTATCAATGCAAGCCCTCTAAGCTGTTGCTGGGCTGTGGGGGCTGGGCGCAGCCCTGCACTTTCTTTCTTGCTTTCATCCCCAGCCTGTGTACTGGGTTCCCTCCGTCCTGAACACCAAAGCCTTCCTGCTGTTCTTGAGGCAGGCACTGTGAACAGCTCCGCTTCCCTGGAACCAGAACCAGGTCAGGCAGCCAGAGCCAGAGGAGTGGGGCTCAGGCTGTTCTGACCCACAGGCGTTGCACCCACCCGGCCTCAGAAAATCATGATTAAACTTTTCGAAGCACCCGCCCCTCAGGTCCCGCTCCAGGCTGTCTCTTGGTCTGAGAGTTGGAGTAGAGCACGGCCCAGAGCCATTCTCCCAGCCTCGGTCACCCCCAGAACTTTCCAGAAACCTGCGGAAGGGCTTCGCAGTTGTTGGGATTCAGTGGGGCTGTGTGGGGTGAGTGACTCACTCTTCTTGGGAGTATGGGCACAAGTCCTCTTCCTTTCCAGGGTGTGCTTGTTTATCAGGGGACAGGCACCGGGCGTGTCTGAATATACCTTTGCAATGGCACTTTGTGGTCCCCTGCAGGGACCACAGCATCAGGACAGGGGCAGGTGCTGAGGATAGGCTGACAGGCAGCACAGATGCCCAGTGGTCATAGCGGACATCACAGGAGATGTGGCAGAGACCCAAGGTCCGGTGCCCACTGACAGCTGAGTTGGATTCAACCTCCGGGATGCTGGAGAGCTGGCTCTACCTGCGCCCTGAACCAGGAGCTCCCTCTCAGCCTGGATGGAGCCAGAACCCTGGCTCCTAAGTTCCCCGTGGGACAGGCAGGAAGACATTTGCAGAAGAAGAGGGACTGTACCCTGGTGGTGGGGGTTGGGCAGAGCCAGCCCAGACCCTGGCTCCTACCCATGGGTCTCATGGCCTCTCTTGTGTGAAACAGGTGGGAGCCTTGGGTCACATGGCTGGCACATCTGGGCAGGTCACATGGCTGGCACATCTGGGCATGAAGGGCAGGTGGTAGAGGGCCAGCCCAGGACCTGTCCCCAACCTCTCCTGAGACTTTTATGGGGGACTGGCTCGAGGGTCCCCAGGTCCCCTGCAGTTGCAGGTGTTCTGGCCACCCAGGGCTTTCCAGTTCTCTCCCAGCTTGGCTATGTGGGCTGACCAAGGTCCAGGACCTGACCCTTCCCTAACCAGCCCAGGCTCACTCGTCTTCTCTCAGGCCCCCTCACCTGGACCAGAGCCTGGATGCCTCCCACCCCTGCACAGGTACACGGGGCCCAGAGGTTGTCAGAGCCATGGCAGAAGCACCCTGGGGGACGCTTTGGCATGTTGGTTTTGAGGAGGGCGAGCATGGGCCCAACCCATCACTTGGGCATTGCTGGCAGGAATCTCCACATCTAGCACCAGTGCCAGAAGACGCCCCACAGACACACTTGGGCGGTGCTGAAAAGAGCACTAGGGCCCACTTTGCCAGCTGCCAAGGCTCACCATGTCCTGAGGCCAAGGGAAGGAACCGCCACTCAGTTTCCACCCGCCACCAGGGCTACCTGCCCCATCAGCTCAAGGATCCTGGCCACGTAGGGCCACGCGGCACCCCAGAGCTGAGTGGCCTGAGGTCCAGGTTTCTGGACTATTTGCCAGAAACAGAGACCACTGGTTCCACGTGGATCAGGGGCCCCTCCTGGCACAGCTCCAGGACAGGACTTACCGAGAAGTCGGTGTCCTCTGCCTTCAGGTGGTCTGCAATGTATTGGACGCCCTCCACTGCCCGAGTCAGGGCTGGCGACAGGGTCAGGTGCCGGGGTGGTGCTTTGGTGCTGCGGGCCTTGAGCGTGGTGCTAGGGGACACCGCAGGGGGCTCCTTCTTACATGTGCATTTGCACAGGGAAGGTTGGTCTGGGGGTGGGAGCTCGGCCGAGTGGGCCTTCCGAGATGTGGGGGAGCTGGCCTCCTGGCCATTGGCTGGGGAGGTGGCGTCATCTCGAGGGACACAATACTGGATACTCCGAGACCGGCAGCGCACACCACCCTCGGCTGCCTCGCCCGGGCTGGACACATGCTGGACACTGAGGGACCTGGCCTTGGCCAGCCCCGGGGCATGGGCGCCACGGGACGGCTGGCAGGGCCCAGATGAGAGGCCAGGGGCGGCCTTCTCGGTCTCGGCAGGTGCCTCGCCAGCGGGCTCTGCTGGCGTGTTTAGCGGGACACAGAAGGATGGGGAGGATGACGGGTCCCGGCCACCAGGGACACAGGGCTCAGCATCGGGCCAGAAGCGCGGGGTGTTGGCCATCTTGTGCATGGACTCAATGAGGCGCCGGCAGTTGTCCTTGACCACTGACGGCCGCTTCATGAGCAGGAGGCGGGGCACGATGTCCAGGAATACACGGCGCACCCAGGCGGGCATGGTGTGTGTGCGTGGGCCGCGGTGGTGCACGTTGAGGACGAAGACAGTGATGACGATGGACAGTGTGACGAAGATCATGGTGAACAGTAGGTACTCGCCGATGAGTGGAATGACCAGCGAGGTGGACGGGATGATCTCGGTGATGAGCAGCAGGAAGACGGTTAGCGACAGCAGCACGGAGATGCACAGCGTGATCTTCTCGCCACACTCGGACGGCAGGTAGAAGACCAGCACGGTGAGGCAGGAGATGAGCAGGCAGGGAATGATGAGGTTGATGGTGTAAAAGAGCGGCAGGCGCCGGATGATGAAGGCATACGTGATGTCAGGGTACACCTCTGCACAGCACTCGTACTTGCGCGTGTTGTAGGTGCCCACAGCGTCCACAATCACCCACTCGCCACTCTCCCAGAAGTCCAGCTGGTCCACGCGGCTGTGCATGCTCACCAGGTCGATCTTGGCCTTGTCATAGGTCCAGGAGCCGAACTTCATGGTGCAGTTCTGCTGGTCGAAGGGGAAGAAGGTGACGTCGATGCTGCAGGAGCTCTTGTAGATGGCTGGGGGCGTCCACTGCACCCGCCCATCGTGGAACAGGTGGGCCTTGGTTAGGTGCGTGACCGCGAAGTCACCGTCGGCGCTGGGGAAGGAGAAGGATGGGAGGTGAGACCCGCTGTAGGCCAGCCCACCACGAGTCTCAGAGGGACACCGCCCATCCAGGAGCCGGGCGGGGCACGGGCCCGGGGCTGCGACTTACCCATGAGCTTCCGTTTACCATCCGTGAGCAGAGACAGCACATGGCCTGGAGTACACAGGCAGGCAGACCCCGCTGTTAGTGGTGGGCATCCTCTGTGGGTGCAGCGGGGATGGGCCGGGTGTCCCCATGTACCTGTGCTGCCAAGCAGCCCCGCGGGCACCACTGAAGCCCCTCGACCTGACTTCAGTCATGAACCCCGGGAACTTAGAGGTCACCCTCCTGAGTGGGAGGATGGGGACACAAGCTCCGCAGAGGCAGAGACAGGTGCCCAGGTCACTTGAGGGTGATGCAACGGGGCAAGAACTGGAGTGGCCCAATTCAGGGACAGCCGTCTGAGCAGGCTCCTGCCTCTCTCTCTGCCCTGGGGGCTGTGGCATCCTTGAGCCCCTGCTGGCAGGTGGAGCTCCAACACTGGCCCCTCCAGCACTTTGCAGACAGGGAAGTTGTTTCTCAGCTTCTCTACCCAGAATGTCGAGACCGCGCTGGCCTCATGGGGCTCACTGCAGAGTACATTCTGAGCTAACGGGAACTCGGGGACACCAGCCAGCAGCCCCCACAGAGTTTTCTCTGCTTTTGGAGTTTGTTCCTGGCTCTCTGTCCCCCACTGGGAGGGCCTGGAAAGCCCGGTTTCTCTCCATGCTCCCTGTGTGATCTGGGCCACTGGTATACCCCTCTCTAGGCCTCAGTTTCCCCATGAGACCCAAGCTATCCACTCCAATCCCAGATAAGTGAATGCCAGTGAAGTCATATCCACAGCCATGTGTGTGGGCCTGGGAGCCTGCGGGGGTGGGGCAGCAAGGCTGGCACTGCCATGGGCACCCGCACCTTCTGCTTTCCCATTGCCTAGCTGCCAGGACCCTCTGTCAGCCCTCACCTACCTCCCTTCCTAAGATCCTAGGCAGAATGGCTACTGCCCCTTGAGTTTCTTCTATGCCAGCACACAGGAGACACTGGCCTGCACTCGGGTATGCCGTCAGGTCCCAGGGACATCCCCTCCGTGGCACCAGGCAGTGGCGGTACTGCTAGAGCTCCACCCTCCAGGTCATGGGGACCTGCCCCCCAGCAGCCACAGGGTACACACAGGGAAACCCCACTGGGGCAACTCCAGTCTCTCCTGAGGCTCTGGGCATAGCCTGGCCTTGGAAGTGGAGGGCCCCTCCAGGCGGGACTATCCTGCTGTGCTAGAATTCCCCAGCCCCACCTCTCCAAAGCCAGAGCCTCCTACTCAGACGCACAAACCAGAATGCCGCACATGGCAGCCACAGCTGGGCGAGGCCTCGGCTCAGCACAGGACTGGAAAGAACAGCAGAGGCCTGGGTTGCCCTGGGCCACCTCTCCCCAACCCCCACAGGAGCAGGGTGTATTCTGGGCTCCACCCACTGGCAGGGCCCATCCCTCCAGAACCGCACCAGGGCCTTGTCTCCTAGTTCCGGCTGGATCTCTGCCAGCTTGACTCAGGCTGGCTTCTGAGGCCTTTGAGGAGGACCATCCACAATAAGCTGGTTCTGGACTTGCAGCCCAGACCCACAGCCTGGCCGCAGGTGGGAACCCTGGGAGCCCACTCCAGCGGCCTTGAGGCTATGTGGACCTTCGGTCTTGACCTTTGTACCAGGTGCAGGCTTTCTGGGCTCCTGCCCCAAAAGGACAAACTTATGGAAGTCCTACATGCTTGAGGGGCTCCCCAAAGCCAGGAAAAGGGCCGAGGCCTCCGCTGCCCACAGCCGGCAGACCCCAGGCCACACTCAAGTGCACACCACATAGCCAACACCCCTGCTGCCTGGAGACGGGCCTCCTTGTTGGCTGTGGGCAGATCTGGCACCAGCCACTGGTCCAGGTCCTTCCTGCCTTCACCTGGCCCCAGGTCGTGTCCACGGAGACCAATTCCAGTCCTACAGAGAAGCTGTGGTCACCCACAGCCCCTCACAGGCTGTGGAAGGAAGGAAAGAGACAAAGCAGGCCTGGCTGGATCCCACTCTCTTGAACTGTAGTCCTGGGGGGCTGCAGAACTGGGGGCTGTGGTCCTAGGAGGGGATGAAGATCTGTGGGGTTGTGGCCCTGGGAGGCTGCTGTCCTAGAAGGCTGAGGACTTGGGGGACTATTGTAGTCCTAGGGGCTGCAGTCCTGGGGGTATGAGGACCTGAGGGCCTGCTGTGGTGGAGGCCATAGTCCTGGAGGACTGCAGTCCTAGGGGGCTGCTGTCCTGGGAGTGCTGTGTACCTGCTGGGCTACTGCCCTGGGGGACTGTGGTCCTAGGGAGCTGCTGTCCTGGGAGGCTGAGGACCGGGGTCCAAGGACCTGGAAGGTTGTGGTCCTGGGGGACTGCTATCCTGGTGGGTTGTGATCTCGGGAGTGCCTGAGAATCTGGGGCATGTGGTCCTGGGAGGGTCTAAGGATCTGGGGGCTGTGGTCCTGGGGGGCTGTGGTCTTGAAGGGCTGTGGTCCTGGGGAGGCTGTGGTCCTGGGGGGACTGCTGTCCTGGGGGACTGTGGCCCTGGGGGGCTGCTATCCTGGGGGCTGCTGTCCTGGGGGGCTGTGGTCTTGGAGGGGATTGAGTCCAGGGGAGCTGTGGTCCTGGAGGAGATGGATCAGGGTTGTGACCCTAAGGGGCTGCATTCTGGTGGGGGTGGCACAGACTCCTAAGCTGCATATCTAAGCGGTCCAGTCCCACCCAGGGGCTCCAGTTCTCCCTGAAGCTGTTTTCAGGGGTCCTACAGGCCACCACAAGCAGGTTTGGTGCCAAGGCCTGGAAGTGGAGTGGGTGACCAGGAAGACCTCCCGGCTCATAGCTCAGACCAGGTGGCTGGTGGGGAGCCTGCCCTGGAGGACACTCACTGCCCTCCTGCTGACCGCCAGATGTGTTCCAAAGTATGCAGCCCTCTCTTCACGGCTCAGGCTCTCTGCTGCCATTACTGAAATCAATTAAGTCGGAGGAGGAGCCTGATCGTTCTTAATCAAACGGGAGCGTTTGTAGGTCAGGCGGACACTCTGTGGCCTGGGGGCTATGGGCAGATGGCCAGGGAGGACCAGCGTCCATTTGCTTTGTGTGAGAGAGCAGCTGGCTGTGCCCAGCCACTGGCCTGCAACTCGATCGCCCCTGGGTGGGCTCAGCTCAGAGCACCAGTTGACCTCGGCGAGGGTCTGGGGAGGACACCAGCCTCTGAGGGCCTGCCTGCCACAGCCAATCCCTGGCCCTGGCTTCTGAGCTCAGAAAAGCCGTTTCCACAACCAGACTTCAGCTCAGCCTCCAGGGGCCAGACGGGCTTGGCGGAGCCCGTGGCTTTGTTTGCCGGAGCTGACGAGCCAGGTTGGCCGACCTGAGTGACGTCTGTCCTGGGCGGGGACTGATGCAGAGAAAGGCAGAGACCCTGCCGACCGGGAGTGGCAGTCTGGTCTTCCTCATCCCTCTCCAGAGCACCCTGTGGTCCACACTGCTGGGGGGCGGTGAGTGCCAGGGACCACTGTGAAAATCACTCCAGCCCGAAAGGCCCTGCCTGCAGCCATTGCCTGGGAGAGACCAGGGCTGATGGGGCAGGGGCAGCCTCCCAGATGCCCAGGGTCACCCGTGGGCCCTTCCAGCTCCGAAGCCCCAGCCCCTGTCTCTGGGACGCCCTTGGCCAGTTTGCTGGCCTGGGGTATGGAACCCCCCTCCCCAGATGCCCCAACTTCTCCGTTCCCGCTTCTCCCTGCCTTGACCTGGCCTCAGTCCTGCTGGCGAGGGTGGAGCTGGCTCAGGCAGTGTGGGGTGACCACGGCGAAGCTCCCTGCCTGGGAGGGCCAGTACTCACTTGTTGTAGAGGACAATGTCCGGCCGCCAGATGAGTTCAGATGGGATGCGGATAGAAGTGACATTCTCGTAGTCGGCCGGGTCCCAGCGTAGCTTGTAGTCGTGCCACTCCTAATGGCGACGGAGAGGGCAGGGGTGAGGGGGTGGGGATGAGGGGGCGGGGCGGGTGGCACCCTTCCACTCACCTGCTTCACCCACACGTTGGTTGTCATCATCTGGTTCTTCTCATCCTAGAGCACAAGTGAGAAGGGAGCGTGTGACCCCCTCAGGGATAGGATGCCCTTCTCCAGCCCTGAGTGTCCTTATCCATGGCACAGGCACAAGGACAGGGCCAGGGCTGGGCATGGGGCAGGTAACCTCTGCAGGGAGTGAGCACCTCATCCTTGGCGGCTACCAAGCCCAGAAGGGCAGGCTCTGAGGGGACTGAGGGACCAGGGGACAGAGCCTTGAATATCTCCAGAAGGATACTGGGGACAGGGTCACTTGACTTCATGGGTCTACTCCAACAGAGGACCGGTATGGGGGGAGGGAAAGGCTCTTCCTGCCCAGACCTCCTGGATGGCTTCCCCGACCTGCGTACCCCTCCTTTCCCAGCTCTGGACAGTCTCTCTGCAGCCAAGACCTCAGGTAAGCAGACACCTACTCCCACCTGCAGCCACCAAAGCCACCCCTACTATGTGAACAGGTACCATTTTGGCCCCTCCAGGACTCGAGCCTCCGGACCTCACACAGGTGGAATCAAGGAACCCCTCTGTGGTATGAATGTCAACCCTCAGGAGGCCACAGCCACACCCCTGCCCATGGCACCCAGGAGGGCGAGGGTACTCCTGCTGTGGTCTGGGAGCACTTGGTGTCCTTCAGAGAGCAAGTGTTCGGCATCTAAGAGGTAAGGCTCTTCTTACAGGTGCCCTGTGTGGGGACAGTGTCCCCGGCATGGTGTTTCTTGCCTCCTAGGTGTTTCTTGCCTCCTAGGGGCTGCCATCTCCCTTATTAGCCCAAACCAGCAGCCAACAAGGTGGCTTTGGAAAAACCCCTCTAGCCGAAGAAATCACACGATCGTCAAGCTGGAAAAATGTCCTGGCGCCCAGAACAGGACTGAGTGGAGGGGGCACTCATGTCCCAAGCACAGATTCAGGCGTTCCTGTGGCCTCCCCTGGGGCACAAAACCTGCAACCAGTGTGGGGATGGGCCGTATCCCCTTAGCACCAGGCCCTGCCCTTGGTCCCACCCCTGACAGAACCTCTCCCAGCAGAGCCTCCCCTAGCAGAGACACCCAGCTGCCCAGGCTGGCCCCTCCCTGAAGACATTGAGGAGTGGATGGGACATGAGTGGCTCATGCAGCTGCCTGGCTTCGTGCCCACAGGATCTTGTCCTCCACAACCACGGCCCCGCATGACCACGACCCTGAGTGACCACGTTCCTGCTGGCTCATATCCCCTCAGGACCCTGTTCCCACACCCAAGGAAGCTGCAGGAGAGGGCACAGCCCTTCCACCCAGCACCCCGCCCACCCCCTGCCGCTGCCACTCCCAGGTGCCCTTGAGGCCAGAGGACATGCCGACGTGGCACATTCACCAAGACTGTGTCTCACGGGCAGGAGGACACTGTGAGGTTCTGAAGCCACCCTGCAGCCAGTCCCGGCGTGAGCTGACATGCGAGCCCTTTGCTCCTGCAGACCCCTCACAGTGTTCATGTCTGCAGTGAGAACAGGCGCCCTGAAGGCGGTCCAGGTCAAGGGGCACCAGGGCAAGCACTGGCTCCCAACCCTGGTGGGACACACAGAGTGGGCTGGTGCAGGCAGTCCTTCCACAGAAACATGGCAGAGGACCCAGGCCAGTGCCCAGGAGTGTCAGCACACATGTGTGCATGTTTGCATGTGGCCCTGGTCAGCTCCATGATGGAGAGCAGGCTGGGAACTGCCCACATCCCCACTGGACTTCAGCCTGGGTGTGCTCCAGCCTCCCTGTCTCCTGGAAAACTAGAGGTGCAGGGCAATGGAGATCCATGGAGCCAACCCTGACAACTTGGGGAGGTGGCTGGCAGGGGGCAGCAGGCCTGGGACCTCTAGCAGCCAGCCACCATGGCCACTGCTGCTACCAGCCTGTCACAGATGGGTCCTGTGCATCCTGCACTGTCCTCCGGCTAGGCCAGCCCAGCCGGGCTCGCTGTCTGGGACCCAGTAAAGGCCAGCTCCAGGACACTTGAGAGTGGAGTCTAGGGGTCCAGTCCCAGACAGGGCTGGTTGACGGGTCTCTACACACAGCCCAGTGCAGGCTGGGGCAGTGTGTCCGTGGAAGCGTAGCCACAGCCCTCCATGTCTCCCCGAGGCCCTGGGATGTTGGAAAGCAGAGCACCTCATGCCATTTCACAGGCTCACAGGGTCACAGGCCCAGTCCCCCAACATGCATGTCACCAGCCTAGAAACACTGCCTCCCTAGGAAATTCTCCTGCAGTCCCTCCCTCACCAGCAGATCCAAAGTCAGATCCTGGCAGGGACAAATTCCCCCAGGTTTGGGCTCCCTCCCTGGACCCAGAGAGCTAGGTCTCAGCAGCAGGGGCTGGCAGAGCCCCGTGCAGAAGGCCAAGTCCCACTACTCCAGCCTTTGACTGCCCACGGGCAGGTGGACCTGCCCCCAAAGGCCCCACCTGTCCACCCCAAGTGAGGTTGTAGCCCACAGTCTGAGGCCTGAGAGCAGGGCCCGGCCACACACTCCCTCCAGTCAGGTGCCCTGTGGGTGGTCCCATCCTAACCTGGATAGCTGAGCCAGCCAGGAAACTGCCTCAGCTGCCCCTCACCTAGCCCATCCAGAGGCACATCTGAGACGGGCTCTGCCCTCTGGCTGTGGGCCGGGGCAGGACTCGCCTGGTTTGGGCAGGCCTTGCTGGGTTACCTGGTGTCTCAAGCTTTCTGCACTTGCTCCTCTGGGCCTTGAAGCCTGGAGTCCACTCCCACCTGGAGCTCTGGCTTACACCACAGGGACTCTCCCCCACCCCGCGTGTCCTCCCAAAGATTCCTGGGTCCCCCACCAGTGTATTTGAAGGCAAATACACATCAGGTAAATAGAACCTGCCAGAGGCCCACCCACCCCCTCACTCCTATAGAGGACTGGTGAAGCCAGTCCACCCCTACCCCACTCAGGAATGCTGTTCTTTGCTTCTGAGGGCCTCTGACTCCAGCTGAAAGCAGGTCACGTGAGGGCAGGGCTTGTGGCCACAACCATGGAGCCCACCTCCTGCTGGGCTCATGCTCTGGCTGGCCCACCTGCTTGGCCAGACACACAGCCCTGGGGACCAGCATGGTGGTGTACCCTCTGCCCCCCGGGCACGGTGCCTCTCCAGGGAACATTGACCGGGCCCCTACCTACCACATCAATGAGCTGTGCGATGGACAGGCCAAAGCGGACGAGAACCACGTCCGATATGTTGGCCACTGGCCGGGACCACTTGTTGTAGCCAGAGAAGAGTTTCCTCAGAAGTCGCTCCTCGGCATGGGCTCGGGTCTCCACATGGCTGCTCGCTGCGGGAGAGACAGGCCAGCGGCTTGGTGCTGGAATGGAGGTGTTCCAGGCCCTCCAGCCCCAGACCAGGCCACGCCCAGCCTCATCTGCTGTGCTTGACCCCTCCTGACCGCCGTCCATGTGTCCTGGTCCCAGGTGTCCTGGATCTCCAGCTGCTCACAATCACCTCCCACCTCAGGGTCATTGCATATCCTGGCGCTGGACATGGCGTGCGCTGTCCCCTCATAGTCTCAGTTTTCCCTCCACCTCAGGTGTAAACACAGCATCCCAGGGAAGCTTTTCCAGACCCCTCAGGCTGGGTGGGGCCTTCCTAGCTGAGACCCCCTCACCACACACCCAGACAAGTGACCCAGGGGCACGGATTTGGACATAGCTCCCATCAAACTGTGATTTCAGAGGGAAAGGCTGTGTCTCCAGCACCAGCGGAATCTGGGACTCCCAGGGTAGCATTGCGCAGGAGGGGCAGGGGGCAGAGAGTGGCCGTGAGACCCTGAGGACCCAGCAAAGCATCGCATGGGGCCAGGGGTCCACCACGTGCAGTTGCTGGACTCCCTGATGCCTGGCGATCATAAGGCACAGACCTGCCCAGAGCACGCAACCACCCCCACCCCCACCCCAGCCATGGGCTCCCTGTATCCTGGACAGACATACAGAACGCCCTTGATGCAGACACAGGAGTGAGTCCCCATCGCTGCCAGGCTCATTCAACCTGCCCTTCCAGCATCCTCCTGTGAGCACCTCCCCACACGTCTGGGGACCTCCTGCCTTCCTTGGGTGCTGTATGGGGGGGGTGGGAGAGGAAGGGGACCCCGCTCCCCACCCGGTCCTGCTCACCTGAGAGCCACAGACAGGACATTGCGAGGGGCCCCGGGGCCCTTGACTCCCAGCCCAGAGCCCCCATCGCGACCTTACTCCTCTGCAGAAGAGGTGGGGTGGGGCCATCAAGGGCAGAGGCTGCCTCTCCACCCCCAGACCAGAGCAGGCGCGGGGACGCTCAGGAGAATTCAGGCGTGTGGAGGGGAGGGACCAGCCGGCCCACCTCTACTCGAGTTGGAGCTTCTGGGTCGAGCTCTGAAACAGCGGCAGAACCCAGAAACCCCCTCTCCTGGCACGCGCGGATCGGGAGGGGATCTCCTTCCTGGCCCGCCCGGCGGCTCGAGTGGGGGCGCCTCCGCGGCCGTCCTCTGCGCACCCCGCGGACCGCTTGCGGAGCCCCCTCCCTGGCGCC